CTCTGGGCTATCGGCAGGGTGCCCGGTCCCCATAGTTTCCATGGCACCCACGGGCAGCACTGGCCTCCCCAGCACTGGTTGTTTTGACCGAGGCAAGGCCACAGGCCGGTGGCCCACTGAACAGCCCTGCAGCTGTGAGAACTCTCTCATAAATACCCGCCTTGTTCATGTGTTTAACCTTAGCCCACACCGGTCGAGATAATGTCGAGGGACACCCCTCTCGGCCTGGCATGGGCACTTTGCAAGGGATTCTGAGGACGAAAAGGAGATGTGAGACCCAGCCTGGCCAGGGGGCGCGAGGCAGGGCTCCCCGAGGTCGGCGCCGCTGACGTCCTGAGCCCACCACGCCGGCTGAGGGCTGCCTGGGCGTGGTGGGGAGTTCGGCAGCGCCCCCAACCTCCACCCAGGTCCCAGCCACCAAAAGCATCCCAGGACTTTGATGTGTCTTCTGGGGGCAAAGCCACCTCCGGCTGAGACCCGCCGAGCCGGGTGGAACCGAGGACCCCACAGGCACACACCTAAGCGCTGGGCAGGGCCCTGCTGGGGACCGCCATCGACGGCGTGACTGGCTGAGAGCGCCCCTGGCTGCCTGTGCTACGCTGCGCGTCGCCCACCCGGGGCTGCCTCCGTCCACAGGACCACAGCCCGGGGGACCCAGTGCCACACGTCCAAGCGCCTCACACCCTCCTGAGGAGGCCACCAGCCGCCTTCCTGCTGACGTCCGGCAGTGCCCGTTTCAGGCCCGAATCCAGACCCGCTCTGAAGGGTTCAACTGCACTTGGCTTCCATGAGCAGAACCCCAGAAGGAACAGTGCCAGGTCCACGCTCCGGTCCACCTGGCTCCTGGGGGTCCCAGCGCTCGCGAGGTCATCCCAGCTGGCGTCAGCCGCCCACCGCGAGACACCCACGGCAACCCAGGACCGCCCAGCTCCTTGGAGCTCGGAAACAGAGCGGGCACCGGGATGCCCCGTCCACTCCCCAAGGACACCGCGTCCAGCCAGCAGATGGGCAGCCTCCTGCCCATCTGCCCTCTCCCAGGCGTTGTAGCTGGTCAGCCTCGCACTGAGAAGCCCAGAGGACAACAAGTGAATCTACAGATCACACCGACAGATCACGACATCCCCTAAGGGAAGGTGGGGGCAGGAATGACAATTTGGGGTCTTTTCCTACGTATTTTGGTCTTCAAGTTTTCCACACTACACAGTTACTATATGCCTAGGATCTGAAAAAAGGTCTTTCTGGCAGAGAACCAAGAAATCGCAAAATGGGAGGGCCTTCTCTTCGTGCCTGAAAACACACGTCAACTGTCACCAGGGCCGGTGCTCTGCACGGAATCTTGAAAGATAAACACCGCAGGGACACAAGCACCCATCCCGGCCAGCGTCGTGGGAAGCTCCGGCCACCTACGAGCAACTGCGTTCAAATCCCACCCTCCCCGGGGAGGGCTCTGACCAGGGGACGCTGGGCCACAGCAGTGCCCCATCCTGCTACTGCAAGCTCGACAGACAGAGGTTCAGCTCGACCCAGGCAGGTGAAAGAGCGGTTAGAACAAAGACGGGATCCATCCCGAGAAGGTGCCCTCGATGTTCATGACCAGATCATCACCCGGAGCCCCCCCGGTGTGAGGCACCTGAACCCCGCAAAGGCACGAGCAGCATCTCAACCAGAGGTCAGTGACGGCAAACAGGTATACAAAAGTCGCCTCCAAAGCAGCACACAGGAAACGCAGGGCAGGTTTATTCAGGAAAAAAAAGCGAAGAAAGTTTAAGACGTTCAGAAAAGCGAGAGCCAAGTGCCAAGCGCTACTTACCACATGAGCTGCGTTTTAAGAGCGTTTGGTGTTTTATCTACCAGTGCTAGAAATAGGTCGCATGCCAAGGGTTTAAGGGAACAAAAAAATCTTAGAAAAACATCATGAGAACACAGGAAAATGAAAACTTGAGAATTGCTGAAATATTTTAGACACAGAATTATTTAAAAAAAAAAAAAGAAAGAAATGGCTTCTGTGTTGGGTCTTGGTCTTCAGACTCCCCCGTGAATTATCAAGGGTGATGTATGCACATGATAATAAGGACATATTTCCTTTTTTCACTGACTCTTGGTCAAAAAAAAGTTAGCATCCTTGTTGTTTTAGCTGTCACTGGACATCTCTTCTTTACAAAAAAGAAAATGCTGTTGACAGCCAAGACCAAAGATATACAAAATGCTAATGATGGATTCAGGTCAACAAATACGGTTATAAAATACTTAGTTCAATTTCTGCCCTTAAACTTCAAGGCAGGGGGGTAATCACAATAAGGAAATTCAGCTCAGCACTGAAGAAAAGGAAAAGAAAACAAACAAAAGCTAATATAGTTTTTATCCTAGCCAAGCACAGTAGCGCATGCCTGTAGTCCCAGCACCTTGGGAGGCTGAGACAGGAGGATTGCTTGAGCCCAAGAGTTCCAGGTCCACAAAAAATAGAACCAAAACATTCATGGTGAGCCAAATCACAGAACACTGTGCTCCAAGACACTCCTCGGCTGCAGACGGTCATGGCCACGTCTGCCCTGGCGCCACAGAGGGAAAGAGGTGGTCAACGTTTGGGAGCTCCGTGAAAACAAGTCCAGAGCCCAAAGAACATTCTCTCCCATTTTTGGAAGGGAAGGTGCTCGGGGAGGCTGTGAGTGGCGGGAAGGAGTCGTCTCAGCACTGGGAGATAAAAGGACCAGGCCAGGTTAGGGTCGGCCGGCGCCTGCCTTGCCGGGCACACACGGACTTACGTCGGTGATCGTGTTCAGGGCCGTGTCCGCCCCGATGCTGAAATCGGAGCCGGGCACATTGTTGGAGACAGTGGCGGGCACCATGACCATGGGGACACAGAACTCCTCGTGTCTCTCCCGGGCAGCCGACAGCTCCAGGAGTCCCAGGTAGGCCTGCAGACAAGTGTGTGCCATGGTGGGGCCGGGGAGAGGAGGCCCCTGGGGGCCTGGGAGGCCACTCTACCACAGGGCGCGGGGGACATAGGGGCCACGGAACCGCTGGGAGAGCGACACATCGGTGAAGACCACAGGCGGAGTGCACAGGATTTCACACAGGAGGACAGAGGACGTGGTGAGGAGCCGGACTAGGCCTCTTCCTGACAAGAGTCTGAGTCCAGAGTAAATCGAAAGGTTATCCTGGACTAATCTTTATCGAATAGAAAAAGATTAAAAACTACAGTCAGACAAGTGTAAGTCACTTACTCCCTAAGGAGCAAGTGGACATCAAATTCAAAAGACAGAATTCTTTTTCTTTTTTAAATTTTTTCCTTTTCCTTTCTTTTTTGTTCTTTTTTCTTTTGAGCCAGGGTCTCACTCTGTCCCCCAGGCTGGAGTGTAGTGGCACGATCACGGCTCACTGCAGCTTCCAACTCCTAGGCAATCCTCTTACTTCAGCCACACAAGTAGCGGGGACTATAGGTGCATGTCATCCTATGCAAATTTTTTTTTTTTAAGAGATAGGTTGACACTATGTTGCCCAGGTCTCAAACTCTTGGCCTCGAGTGATCCTCCTGCCTCGGCCTCCCAAAGCACTGGGATTACAGGCGTGAGCCACCACATCCAGCCAGAATGACACCCAAGACATGAAATAACTCAGAGTCCACTGAATGGTGATCCCACTAACTGCATTCAGTTTTCACTTCCTGACTGAGCTGCTTTACCGGAGTTGGGTCACTCTTAGGCCACGATTCGCCACCTTTGTTCTGCTGCTTTACCAGTGTCCAGTGGCAGCTGGGCCTGGGAACTAGAACCTCAGATTACCAAGAGGAGCCGACCGCCGTGCCGTGTGGTGCCAGTACCGGGCTGTCACTCGCTCCTACAGAGCGCGGGGCGTCGGTGGGGCCACGTACCTCGAACCCGCCAATGATGAGCAGAGCATTGATGCCGTGGGCGCGCATCTGGGCTGCTATCTCCTCCAGGTACTTCCCCGGCAGGATGCTGCAACAGCAAAGTCAAGCGAGGTCAGCGCCCACGCCCCCACGGCCGGGACACACGGCATTCCGGGGACCCCGGGCAGCCCCGCCGCCCCACCCCCAGGTATCGAGGGACAGCCTGTGGCTTGCTGCTTCCTCCACACTGTCACGGTGTGCAGACGGCTGAAGGGTCTCACAGCCAGGAGGGCCCTGGGTCCCATCGCAAGACAGCGCTTTCCAAACACAAGAAGAAGCACCGCAGCCAGCGGCCTGGCCTAAGAGGCGCCTCCTGCCTCGTTAGAAGAAGGGAGCCCTAGTCCCTTGCAGTCGCTACCTCTGTTTCCTAACAGAACTTCCAGGTTCCAGATAAGTGACACAGACGCCATCCAACTTGACCTCCCTTAAGATTCCATCCGCTCATACCCACCAACCCTGCCCACTGGTCTCGCCCGTGGCAAAAGACACAGTAACACGGGCCACACCTAGCTGGCGACTTGGCTATGCCCATCCCAAGATCCCAACCGAAACCCACCCCGAATCTGCGATGCTTATTGGAGAAAAAAGGGGGCACGTAGTCCAGAAAGATTTCAGGCTTGGCAAGTCAGCAAACAAGCGGATGGTCTCACTGCAGGGCCCTTCAAGCCCATTACAAAAAGCCTTAAACAAAAAGAAAAGAGAGAGAGACAGGGTCTTGTTCTACCCCAGGCTGGAGTGCAGTGGTGCGATCACAGCTCACTGCAGCCGTCAACCTCTGGGCTCAAGCGATCCTCCTGCCTCAGCCTCCTGAGCAGCTGGGACTACAAATGTGTGCCGCCATGCCCAGCTATTTTTATTTCCTACAGCTGTGGGGTCCAGGCTGGTCTTGAACTCCCGGCCTCAAGCAATCCTCCCTCCTTGGCCTCCCAAAGAGCTAGAACGACAGGCGTGAGCCACTGTCCCCGGGTCCCCAGCATAAAGCTTTTAAGCATCTTCAGAATGGGACCGAAGCAGCCCAAGAGTCCCCTCTGGGTCCCCAAGAGCAACGCCCTGGCGGCTTACAAAGCACGCCTTCACCCCGCCATCATGGCCAGGACACCCACGCGTGGACCCGGCTACCACCCGGAGCACCGAGGGCCAGCGCTCCTGGGAACAGACAGCAGGTGGCGCAGCAACGCTCGCTGCACTCTGGTCCTGGCAGCCTCTGGGCTGTCCTGGGGTCCCGGTTTTGAGGCTGAATCACAGGGACACCTGCCTGGGACCCTGAGCGGCAGAATGTGGGATCCGGCACTTTCCGGACTGACCTAAAACCGGCTGCCCTCCACCGTAAAATGGCACCTGTAGTAATGACAGATGTTACTACTCACAGCCCTGAGCTGACCGAGGATGAAAGAGCTTCATCTACACAGAAAGACACATTTCCCCAGCTATGCAGGGACACTTGCTGTAATGCAGGAAGAGACATCTCTACTTTTCGTTTTTTTAGCCCGAGTCTCCCTCTGTCCCCCAGGCTGGAGTGCAGTGGCAGGCTCACAGCCACTGCAGCCTCTACCTCCTAGGCTCAGGTGAACCTTCCACCTCAGCCTCCCGAGTAACTGGAACTGCAGGCACGTGCCGCCGAGCCCGGCTGGTTTTTTTATTTATTGTAGAGACGGGGTCTCGCCCAGTTGCCCGGGCTGGTTTCAAACTCCTGGACTCAGGCAATCCTCCTGCCTCAGCTTCCCAAAGTGCTGGGATCACAGGCGTGATCTATCACGTCCGGCCAAGACACCTTTACACTAGAACTCCTGGGGTCGCCTCCTCAGTGGTGGGAACCTGGTCTCGGGTCGCAGAGCCATCAGTTCTGCTGTCCCCCTCGGTGCCAACCCGTCAACGGGGCAGCAGCCCGCTTGGTGACACTGCGCATCTGTGTGACCAGAGCGAGAGGCTCAGCCTCACCGCTTTGCTCCTCCAGCGAGTAGCAGCCAGAATTATGAGGGGGCATCGCACGCTGCCTCCTGTCTCCTCCAAGGCTCGAAAGCGTCCCCAGCCCCTGGTCACGACGGGTCCTCTGGAGCGAGGCCAGGGACCGCCGGCGCCTCTTCCCACAGGAATGTCTCTGCAGGAGGCGGCACCCACGCCCGGCCACCTCATCCAGGATCTGGCGTGACCCTCCTCCTCGAGAGCGAGTCGGAGAGGCCAGTCTCGGAAGTTACCGTTTTGTCCCGAGGATGGAGCCCCCCTGGCCGGTCCAGCCGCCGACGTCTGTCCAGCCGATTTCTCTGATCTAATGTGAAACAGAACAAAGACAGCTGAAGCCAGGAGGGCACAGAGAGCCCAAAAGCTAGGACAGCCCAGTGCCCGGGCCTCCTGCAAAGCCTTCGGAGTCTCGCGGGGTGGTTCACCGTGGACAAAGACACCACAGGCCTCCCACCCCTCCTTCCCTGGGGGGACCCCACGTGGCGCCCAGGCACAAGGCCTGCCGCTGCAAGGTCAAGTTAAAATGGTTTCTAAGACAAAATAAAACAGCTTAAAAACGTAGAGGGTGGCTGAGATGCAGAAAGAGGGTGACCCCCCTCTGGGCACACTGGGGAACCCCTGCCACGCTGTGGTGAGAGCTCCAGGCAAGTCCTTCTGACACCAGGATGCCAGCCCATGTCATAGGTGGAGGTGGACAAGCCCAGTGGGTGACAAGAAAGAACTCGGGGCTCGGAGCGGAAACACGGCTGTGTGGACCGGCCTCGTGGGCAGCGTGTCCCTCAACGACACAAACAGCAGCTCAGGCCAGCTGATCTTCAGAGGCTGAACAGGGACGGAAGCAAGGTCTGCGCTGAACGACAGCTCCTCACCCCGCCTCTGCTGCTGAGACCCGGGCGGCCACCGCCAAGGACAGCAGGGCCGCGTGGGCAGCGGAGCCCTCAGGGCTGCCAGGAGGCCCCTCCCTCACCCCCTGCCGCTCCTCGGTCTCCAGGGCCAGGGTCTCCTCCCCTCCTTGCGCGAGGCCTCGGTCCAGGGTCTCCCTCGCCTCCGTCTGCACCCAGGCCTGGGGGAAGCGGCCCGAGCCCTGCACCTCCAGCCCCCGTCGGGAGCCCACCCCTTGGCTCGTGTGTCATTCCTCACTGGGAAAGTGACAGGGCAACGTCTGCTGAGTGAGGGACCACGCCAGGAGCCCAGGACTGCAGCCGTCCGCCGGCTTGAAGTCCTGCGTGCTCAGGTTAGCACCCCTGCACACCTGAGCTGTCCTGTACGGAAGATGCGGGTCACAGCCTCGAGGTCGTGGGAGGCGTGTGTGGGAGAACTCGTGCAAATCTCGTGGGGCAAGTGCCAGGGTGGGTGCGTGCAGTTTGGTTTCAGCAAGCACCTGTGTGTACCAGATGCCACGTGCTTCCACCAGGGCCCCGCGTGAATGGGACGGCAGCCTCGTGAGGGGAGGGCCACCTGCCTCTCACCTAATGTGGGACCCCGGAGGCCCAGCCACCCCTGGAGCCTTCTGAGGAGCCTAGAAAACACGTTTCGCACACCCTGAGCTTCCCCAGAGGGCCAAGAGCCTACCTGAGGACAGGACTCTAAGGCAGCTGTGCCTACAGGATCTCCCTCTGTCACCCAGGCTGGTGGGGCGCAGTGGCACGATCGTAGTCCACTGCAGCCTCGACTTCCTGAGCTCAGGAAGTCCTCCTGTCTCAGCCTTCCAATTAGCCAGGACTGTAGGTAAGCAGCCCCACACCCAGTTAATGCTCTCATACTTTGTAGAGATGGGGTCTCACTAGTTGTCCAGGCTGGTCTCCAACTCCTGGGCTCAAGCAATCCTCCCACCTCTGCCTTCCAAAGTGCAGAGCTGAAAGGCATGAGCCACCACGCCTGGCTGACATCTGTGCCTTAGGTAAGCCGCCACTTCATTTGTGACAGTACACCGCCCTGGACAAAGCGTGGGAAGGCATGGGGTGGCCTGCCGTGGACAACGACGCTGCCCACAGACTCCTGGCGACTCACTTGGCCTTTGGCGAAGCCGTCAAAACCGTCGTAGATGGCCAGCATCCGGTGGCCATCGGCGATGCCCACGCGCACGGCCGAGCGCACGGCCGCATTCATTCCCGCGGCTGGCGCGCCCACGTTGATGACAGCCACATTGCAATTGGTCTGCAAGACAGGAGGCCCCGGCACTGGGTCACCGGTGGGCGCGAGCTGCACCCACAGCACGCCAGGCCAGGCAGCAGGCAGCCGCGTTCCAATGAGGACAAAGGCCATGAGGGAAGGTCAGGGGTCACCTCCCGGGCGCCGACACCCGAGTGGGCCTGCGTCAGCCAGGCTGGCCGCCTACCTTGGGTATCTGGTCGTCTGGCAGCTTGATGGCAAGGCGCTTGTAGGTCTTGAGGTTGCCCTCGAAGCTCCTACAAGACAAGGATGCTGCCGGGTGAGGGGAGGACCTGGACGCGGCCGAGGGTGTTTGGGGAGAGGCGGGTCTGTGGGGGCAACTCCCCTGCTGACGACCAGAAGAAAGAGGCCATCTGATCACATGTGGCCAGCCCCAACAGGCCCACCCTGGGCAGCCCCTTTCCAGCTCAGAACTGCCAAGGAAAGATGGCCGCCTCGGCGCCTTGGGTCTCCTTTCTGAGACGTGGCCACGTGCCCCCTCGGAACTGGATCCCCGGAGCTCCCACACAAGGCCCCCATGCCAAGAGACACCAGCAGCAAGTCTTAAACACGAGTTTCCTCTGGCTGGTCACCCTGGCCTTTGGCCTGCAACCCCGCGCTGTGCACGTGGGCCTGCTCTTAACTTGCGTGTTGCCAGGAAGACCATGATATCCGAGCATGCGTGCAGAGGCCCGAGCAGTGGCGGCGCCCAACATGACAGCTCCCTGGGGGCCTCACCTCCCGCGGAGCCGGACAGCATCCTTAAACCTCCTCTCGTCCATGGCCTTCTGCACGTCCTGGGTCTTCAGGAACGAAAAGAGGACAGGATGCGTAAGGGCTCGGCATGCCCGAGGACAGGTGCGGGCGATGCAGGGTGGTGGGTCTCGGCCGCCTCCAGATGTGCCCCGAGTCCCGAGGCGGGCTGGAGGCCGCCCCTTGCCGCCCAGCCGCGGGGCTGGAGCCCAGATCTGCCCGCTCTGGAGATGGCACCAGCCATGATGGCTGTGACATTGCAACCCTCTTGCCCTGAGAGCAAAGTCAGAGGAAAGGAAACTCCCAGGCAAAGCTCCAGAAAGCACCCAGCTTGGTGCTCGGCGTGACACCGCCTTGCTGGGGTCTGTGGGACCCGAGATCAGCCATGGCAGGTGGGGGGGCGGAGGGGCCCGGCGGTCTCAGGACAGAGCAGGGGACGGACACGCCCGGGCGGCCCCAAGTCACGGCAGGAGCTTGGGCAAGTTCTCGCTCCCTGAACTTCAATTTCCTCATCTGTAAGAACACCCCACTTCCCGTGGCGGTCTCGGTCTTCAAAAACATGTCTCTTCAAAAGCATGTCAGGCCTTAAGGAAGATGCCTGACAAGACCAGCAGGCACCCAGCAAAAGGCTCGCTTTGGCTCTTAGTGGTCAGGTCATGGTGGGATGGGTCCAAGAACACATCACATGATAACTGCCACACGTGTCTCCAGACGGACAGACATGAGGCACGGAGACGAGCTCCAAACAGACAATATGCAGGCCGGCACTCTGACCTTTAGGGCTACCCCTCACACTCACACACGGACACATGCACAAACACACGCATGCATGCAAACACGCCAATACTCATGCAGAACATACAGACATACAAAGACACATGTAGACACTACACAGGTCAGCTCTGACCCTTTAGGGCTATCCCTCACACTCACACACAGACACATGCTGAGATACAAACACACGCGCACACCCCAACACACATGCACACACACAGACACACCACACACAAACACACATGGACACGCACCACCACACAGACATACACATACAAGTACACATGTAGGCACACACACCCCCAAACATGCATGGACACACCTACACACATGCATAGAAATACACACATGCACACGCCGACACACCAACACACACACGATTTGCTCGTGGGCTTCTGAGAGTCGTGTCTCCAAGGGTCCCTTCCACGAGTCCCAGACCCAGCTGCGTGCTGACCGCTTGGAACGTGTCACAGAGGCATAAAGCTCGGGGCCGCGGACAGACCCCGTGAGGAGTCCCGAGGAAACTTTGAAAGAGGAGACCACAACAGTGTCTGACGCCACCCGGGGCTCTGCCCACGGCCGCCGACCCACAGCTTGGACCCTCACGGCTCCGACTTCCCAGGTCCGCCCGCAGGGCTGCCGGGGCGGCACGTCTCAGAGAGTGACCAGACACGTCAGGGACCACAGGGTCCTTGGGGATAGGCTGAGGTGGCTGACATGGGGTAGCATGGCTGTCACACTATCTCCCGTGGAACCGCCCAGGCTTCTCCGGGCGCGGGGTGCCCGGGGCTGCCCGATCCCCTCTGGCACTGACGGAGACGCCCAGCCACCCTCCGTGCTCGTTCCTCGGGACTGGACCCTTGATGGGAGGCGCCTCCGATGGCCCCATGGGGCCGGGCAGGGGCGTGGGGTTGGGAGGGAGGAGACGCCACAGAGCTCTCCGGTGTGGGGAGAAGGGCCACCCGGCCCCAGGCCCCAGCTCCCTCCCCTGGAATCCCCAGCAGGCCCTGAACCTGCTGGGTTCCAGCCCAGGCCACCAGCCCAGGGCCCGCGCTCACCATCTGCACGCACTCCACCAGAGGCAGGCGCACCGCGTGGTTCCCGCTCAGCGACACGACGCACGCCGGGGTCTCGGGGGTGGCCTCCATCAGAGCGATGACGGCCTCCACGCCCATGCGGCTGGCCTGGGAACGGCGGCCACTCTTCAGGGCAGCCCCCCCCCCCCCCGCCCCCCCCCCCCCCCCCCCCCCCCCCCCCCGC